GCAATTATATGTAAAATCAAAAGCTATAAATTAGTTTTTTGTTTTGAACAAGAGAAGTTGAGACACGTAGCGATAAAATTGAATGAATTCCCAACACGATAAAGATAAGTTTAATAATTTTCTTCTACGGTTTTCGTTTCCTTTTTAAGAAATAGAGATGTTAAAAAAAATCAATATAAAGTAACATGTAACAAAAGTTTCTCTTGGTGTAAATTTTCAAAAGGAGGAAAGCAAGTTTGAAAGAATAATATGATGAATCAACATTCTCTGAATACATATTAAAAACCATTTAATTTTTTCCCTACGCGTTGTGGAAAACATGACGGCTCCGTGTAATTGTTAATTACCGCGAGACATATGCTAACGAACCGTCGTAAGCAAATTCCTCGAAACGTTCGCTACAAGAGAAAACGAAAACAATTTTGGGACAAGAACGGAAGCGTTCGTTTGATCGTCATCGTCGTCATCGTCTTCGTTTCCGAAAAGATGTACGTACTCCACTAAGTAAGATAAATCATAATTATTCTTGATATCAGCATTCGCGGCATCCTAAAAGTCCCGCTGGATAAACATTAGATACTTGTAGCATCCGAGTTTGATTTAGTCGGGCAACGTGAATAACACAGTTTCACGTTTGCCCGTCTCTGTGAAAAAAAAACGCGACGATTACCTTTTTCCTTTCTTTTCAAGTCCTATGTATACTTGTAAACTTATAAATGTATAAAAACGATTAGACAGTAACAGAATACAATTTCTTTATGATTCTCGAAATAATCTTTTTGGATTTCTAAGCACAAGGAAAGACATCTCTTTTGCTTAAGTATTATTCGACAAATCATGCAATGATACCGTTCATGGAGTGCAGTAACGGCTGTCGCATACTGGCAATGGAAACGAAGACGAGGGCGAATAGAAAACGGATAAAAGATTGAAGCGCACTCGGAAGGGAAATGAAAGCACCGCGAGCTTCCTCTTCTCGACGGTCCTTCGACTTTATTCGCGAGGCAACGATACTTTACGCAAATATCCAGTATTCTGTATACAATCCATAATTAAGCTAATCATCCGTCGACGAAACATATCGCTCGCGAACAGCCACTTCGGCGTAAACTGCACGTTATGCGCGTTCTCGCGTATCTCAATCACTATGACAAGCAAATATATATAAAAAAAAAACATTCTTTTTGAAACAGAAATTGAAATAAAAAAAGACATTTTTTGCGAGGTTGCTATTATATGCTTGAAAAATACATATGATATAAAGGCACAAAATAAAAAAAGTATGCAGAATTATTCTTATTGTTAGTACAAAGTAATCGGAGCATGATCCTGGAGACGTCCCATGTCCGTGATATCGTCATCGTGGACGGGGCCTGGGGCCCACAGAAAAAATAATAAAAATAATATGTATGTGCGTATGCATATGTATGTGCGATTGCGTATGCGTGTGCGTGTGTATGTATATCTATGTTGAATTGCATTACTAGTTTTATGTAATATTATTTACTTTCGACAGTAACAATAAAAAAAATAATATAATATATTTCATTTATATATGTATTTTTTCGTTTATATTTCCCAACATTTTATCAACGAAATAATAAATAGAGTTTCTTGTCCTAAATAACATTACCGTTTTTTTTCTTCAAATATACCCTAGAATCCTAACACCACACTTCTAAAAAATCCTGATTTTACCATACTAAGTGTACGCTACCCAGTGTACTAAGAGAGAGAGGGACAGGGATGGAGAGAGAAAGAGAGAGAGAGAGAGAGAGAGAGAGAGAAAGAGGAATAAATGGGTGCATGCAAATTACATACATAGGAGAGAAAGGAATAATACGAGAGATATCTGTCCTTGTCTAACGAGGCATCTATACGACATATATCTGTCAAAGTTCGTTCTTTGAAATGGCTTTATAGATCGCAAAATTTTTTTACAGAAGTAAAGTATTAATGAAGAGTTGTTCTTTCCATGTGCTCCCTAAGTTACATAACAGTTACAAACTGGTTTACTGGGATTATGTTATAATAATTAAGATTTTTATTCAGTTTTGTTATCTATACTGTTCATCAGCTGCCGCTACCCTCTACTCTGATGCTAAGACTGAGGTATATTTTTCTATATAAAGACAGAATAAAATTAGTTATATATAAATCAATACTATAAATTTAATATTTATTGCATTTGTTATAAAAGTTATTATTTTACCCCATCAAGAATGGATAGATCCTTTGAAAGAGTTTTACATAATTCATTTACATTACAAGAAAAAAATTATTAGAGGTGCAAGAGATGCAGTAAATTGCCAAGTCTAATAAGTACCCGCGTCAATACATACTATGTATACTAATTCACATTCTCAATTATGCTACTGTTATTATTTGTCATCAGACAATTATAAACATACACATAATAATTAGATACATATTATATATATATATATACGCACATGTGTGCATAAGAATATATATAATTTATAAAAAGCGGGTGCTTATCAGCCTTGATACGTTACTGCCTTCTGCTACAGACGGCCAGAAAGCATTTTCAGGTTCAGGCCGTATTGCTAAAGAATCCAAGACGCGGCAACGCCGCGCGGCGTTGCCGCGTCTATAGCATATGTCTCTCTACCGTGCGTCCGTGTGAGCAATTCAGTGGTGTGTGTACGTGTACGGACATACACCACTTCATAGAATCTGAAATAAGTTGGTAACACTGAAACCGGAGTTTCGCGTTGTCACCACGCGAGGTCTCCAATATCAGTTCGGCCTTTGCTTTAGTTGACAGAGTTGACATTACCGACGTCGAGGAAGTTCGGCCTTAGCTTTAGCATCCCCTTAACAATTTTATTTCTGATTCGTTAACTTCAACATTTAATATCAGTAACATAAATAATTTGTTAAAGCAGAGAATAGTTGATATATGAAAAGTAAATATTTATGTGTACTTTTCATATACCAACTATTCTCTGCTTTAACAAATTATTTATGTTTCATTAACTTAAACGCTTAATATTTGTAACAGAAATAATTTGGTAAAGCAGAGAATAGTTGGTGTATAAAAAGTACATGTAAATATGAATTTTTCATATACCAACAATTCTCTGCTTTAACAATTTTATTTCTGTTTTGTTAACTTCAACGCTTAATATCTGTAACAGAAATAATTTGTGTTCCAAAATATTCTCTGTTGTAATCAAAACCACAAACTTGAAAACAATATATTAAATTTTATTATTTATTAATTGGATTAAAGTTGAGATCTAACATTTCCTTAAAATAAACGTGATAACTGTATACACGGCTGCGTCGAATATGTCCGAATTGCTACAAATTATAAAAAACATAATTAATACTTAAAAAAAAA